ATAAGATTAATTTGAGAGTTTTTTACCAAAAAGGAAATTTTTTTATAAAAAGAGAAATGATTTTCAATTTCGAGGCAATTCAGCAGGTGTTTTAATAACAAATTGAGAAATGATTTCCATAGAAAATCTCGTGACAAAATTTATAATAAATTTAAAAATAAATGATCAACAAATGATCAACAAAATCGTTACTAGTTTTATAAAAAACGCCCAATAATATCTTTTTATTGTTTTAATTTATAATCGTTATAAAATCTACTGTAAAATTTAGTGGTGTTTTAACGCGTTAAAATTATTTTATCATCGTTAACTTTTTGTTTCATTTATTAATCTGGAAAAACTCTCAAGTTATTTATATAGATATTCACATGGAAACGTTTATTCTTTGATAATAGTAAGTATTATAAGCCATGTCATTCCAACGGATAGCATATTTTAATAATTCGCTACAATACCGTAACGCATTTCTATTTATTGTTGGGTTATAAATTTATATTAGAATTTCCCATTAAATTAATATTTTCAAAAATCACAAACTAAGAATCTTGTAAAATATTCTGCTAATCTATTTAATAATATTTTTAAAAGTAACTTATGACAATTTAAAATCTAAAAATAGACAAATAAGATACATACAAAATTAGTGACAATAAATTACTTTTTATTAAAGAGTGTTTTGAATCAATCAATCATTGAAATTTATTATTATATAAAACTTTTTTTTAACTACCATAATACCATTGATATTAATATCTTACCTTTTAATTTGTTCCAACTATATTTCTTTTTTTATTTCTTAATAAATTCATATTTAATAAAATACTTGTTTATTAAACATTATACAAATTATTTTAGTACTTACGTATTTTCAACTTTTCAAGTAATTTTTACTGTCAATTCAAATCAACATATAATTTAATATGAATTCTAGCTATTTGAATGAAAATATCTAATTATATATTATTATATATTTTAGAAAACAAGAATATCTCAAAAGTTAATTCGAATTGAATATGTTAAAGCTACTGCAATAATTAAAATGGGTAATTTAAAATAAAACATTTATATTCAAAATATGGTAAATTTATTTTTTTTTTGTATGGATATCAACGTAGAAAAATTAAGAGTGTACATTAATATAATAACTGAACAACAAATACATTAAAAATGAATTTCTAAATGGTTTTTTTTTTACTAAATAAACATATTTATGAACAACTTTTTTTTTCGAATTAAATGTGAAATCTCATTCATAGGCATCAAAATAAGAAATATAATGGAGATACAGCAGTCAGACTTCCAAAAATTACACCCTTTATTATACATTATATAAAAACCTTTTCGTAAGCACATTTTTTGGAAAATTTACCGAGGTCAAAAGTGGTGATTATAGACAAGTTTGTCTGTAATAGTAAAAGATAATAATTACTAAAATAAATCCTTTTTATTATTAATCATATAATAAATTTTAAATGAATTAATTTAAAAACACATCGTAAATCAAAAAATAAATATTTCACCATTTCGTTTACTCTTTGTTTCTTCCAAATATACCAACACTTTGCTTCCACTCAAATTAATTCATTTTAGTTTTTTAGTTCTATGTTAATGAAAAGAACACCCATAATAAAAAATAATGTACGTTTGATAAAAAAAAATAATAAGCTGCATGTACCAAATAATGAAATATACAAACTTAATTTATTTCACAATTTATCGATAATCTTTAATAAAATATTTTACAAATAAGAAACGTTTTTAACATAATGCAAATTATATAAAGTCAATACAAACATTACACAAACATGGTTAATTTCATTTTTCTAGATATTTCTTTCAATTGTATATATTTTATTTTTTTGCAATATAATTATCAAGTAAATAATGTAAGTCGTCGGGCTGGTAGTGTAGTCACTACGTTCCTCCACCTCGGCCACGGCCTCGCAGTACCTACATCCCCCCTCCGTGGGGTAGGGAATCCCCTATATCTGTCACCATCTGTCATTAACATCTGTCATATAATAATATACTAAAAAAGAATGAAATAAGGGAAAAGAGAGGAAAATACGATAGAATCAGAGGGGTATGACAGATATGACGGATATGACAGATGTTTCAGAAAAATCGGGAGAGGATACTCCCAGAAAAAAGTTTTGATTTTACCCCCCCAGATCTGTCATTCTGTCATAGATCTGTCATATGATCAGGATTCAGTCTATTCATCTGTCGGAAGCAGTGAGATAGCAAACCGAGTAAACAGGTAGGTTAATAGCCCCTAGAAGGTCTGTAAAGCCACAGAGAGATAACCGGGTAGGAGCACGGATTCTTGGAAAAAATATATTCGGCAATTGAAGATTAGGTAACTATAAGTAACATACAATGATAAACTTACATGCCGCCACTTCTCTTGCCGAAGACCTCGGGCTTGATCTTGTAGACATCTATGGAATCCGTAAATGGATCCAAATTCAGGCATCACCCCTCAATGACCCGGACATAGTAGCAGAGATGGTCAGAAACCTTCCGGTTAAAGAATTCAGAAAACATCTCAAGATTAACAGACTCTGGTACAACGGTTGTAAAGCCGAGTTGTGGAAGCGGCATAAAGAAGCTGAGGAGGCATACGACAGGGCGGTAAACCACTACAGGGAAGCTAATGATCCTGCAGAGTCATATTTTTTGTCCAGATTTTTACAAGGATTGATGACTATGTAACCATATCATCAGGTATCCTTACATTTTTCAACAAGGATTGATGACCATGTAACTTCATCATCAGGCATTCATGAATTCTTAACATAAACTAATAAATTTTTGAATGTTCTATCTAGTACTCTTTCAAAATTTTGTCTAATCACTAGTTTGAACTGATGAGATAGCAAATAAAGTTAATCCTCTAAACCAGGTTTCCCTAAAGAAATTCTTGTTGGCTTTGGACTATGTAATAATGCAGAAAGCCAGCAAAATGATTTATCATCTCTTATTCTATTATTAGCAAAAAGCCATTGTAACATATTATTTCCTTCTTTAAATTCCTCAATATCAAGTGGACATGATCTCAATAGTAATAAAAGTTGATTAATATATAATCTAGCCATTTCTTTATCCTCTTCAGTCTGTTCTAAATCTGCTATTGTAGGATCATATGTAAATTGTGAAGTTTTAGAACTAGCAGTTGAAAGTGGAATACTATGAATACTTGATTTACTAGACAAAGCAGTATGTTGAGACATTGTCTCCTCAAGATCTCGAACAGATTTTTTGGTTGAAGCAGTATGTTGAGATAATGTTTCTTGAAGGTTTTGAACAGATTTTTTAGTTGAAGCAGTGTGTTGAGACATTGTTTCCTCAAGATCCTGTATTTTACTTTGTGCTGCTTCCTGCTGATTTGATAAATCTGTTATATCACCTGACACTCCCTTAATATCCATTGATGTATTTTTTAATTGCCAAGAAATTGCTCGCATTTGTGAAGCAAGCTCATCTATAGTTGCTTTAAGCTCTTCTACAGATGATGTACCACCATACTTTAGATTGTTTGGAAGGTTATTTCCAACTTCTGAAGGTTCTGGAATAGTTTCCGGATAGCTAATTACTTCAATAATTTTAGGTATACATGGAATTCTGCGATTCAGATGAGTGTTTCTATCTCGAGTACTTTTAAAATTATCTTTTCCACATTTAGGACATGGAGGCAACATAATGAATAATATTACAACCACTCAGTAAAGGTAAAGTGTTCATTTCTGATGTGTATGTTCAAATGGACGAATGGATGGATGGATAGAATCCTGAACATTATTGTACAAATGGCCAGATGAACAAATGGATGCCATTCCATCTAATGCTATATTTTTAACGTATAAATGGATGGATGGATGGAATCCTGAACATTGTTGTACAAATCAAATGGATGGAATCCTGAACATTATTGTACAAATGGCCAGATGAACAAATGGATNGAATCCTGAACATTGTTGTACAAATCAAATGGATGGAATCCTGAACATTATTGTACAAATGGCCAGATGAACAAATGGATGCCATTCCATCTAATACACATTAGAAATTATTAGAGAACATTCAAAAATTTATTAGTTTATGTTAAGAATTCATGAATGCCTGATGATGAAGTTACATAGTCATCAATCCTTGTTGAAAAATGTAAGGATACCTGATGATATGGTTACATAGTCATCAATCCTTGTAAAAATCTGGACAAAAAATATGACTCTGCAGGATCATTAGCTTCCCTGTAGTGGTTTACCGCCCTGTCGTATGCCTCCTCAGCTTCTTTATGCCGCTTCCACAACTCGGCTTTACAACCGTTGTACCAGAGTCTGTTAATCTTGAGATGTTTTCTGAATTCTTTAACCGGAAGGTTTCTGACCATCTCTGCTACTATGTCCGGGTCATTGAGGGGTGATGCCTGAATTTGGATCCATTTACGGATTCCATAGATGTCTACAAGATCAAGCCCGAGGTCTTCGGAAAGAGAAGTGGCGGCATGTAAGTTTATCATTGTATGTTACTTATAGTTACCTAATCTTCAATTGCCGAATATATTTTTTCCAAAAATACGAGCTACTACCCGGTTATCTCTCTGTGGCTTTACAGACCTTCTAGGGGCTATTAACCTACCTGTTTACTCGGTTTGCTATCTCACTGCTTCCGACAGATGAATAGACTGAATCCTGATCATATGACAGATCTATGACAGAATGACAGATCTGGGGGGGTAAAATCAAAACTTTTTTCTGGGAGTATCCTCTCCCGATTTTTCTGAAACATCTGTCATATCCGTCATATCTGTCATACCCCTCTGATTCTATCGTATTTTCCTCTCTTTTCCCTTATTTCATTCTTTTTTAGTATATTATTATATGACAGATGTTAATGACAGATGGTGACAGATATAGGGGATTCCCTACCCCACGGAGGGGGGATGTAGGTACTGCGAGGCCGTGGCCGAGGTGGAGGAACGTAGTGACTACACTACCAGCCCGACGACTGTAACGAATAACGATATTGGAAATTTAAAAGATCACTCACCTTAATATTTTTATTAAAGTCATATCCAAGTTTGGAAAAGAACTTCATGCGTGCCATCAACGCTCATGTGATATTAAAAATTACATATTACGTACGTTGTGACACAGTGTTGTAAATTCAAGGTCATTTAACTTTTTTGAATGACCTAGGCCATTTCGTTATGATCACGTGATAAATTTACTACTGATTACGTAATTAGGCATTTTCAAGTCATTTCGAGGTCATTTGCAAACGGGAAAAGCACGTGCTAGTTGGTGATCGATCAAAAGATATAAAATGATGACATTCAGCTTTAATATTTTTTTTTTTTTCCCTAACAAAACTTTATTAATAACATAGCTTTAATATTTTACCAAGTTGAAATCAAAAAATCAAAATGTCTCAACCTAATTTTAAAGTTATATCTGATCCACTTAATGCGTTAGCTACGGAAGTCCCCAATTTACCAAACATACCCATATTTTCTGTCATGGAAGGTTTGGAAAGAATAGCTAAAAGGGTTGATCAAACTTCTCAAAGAAACGACGAAATCTCTTTAAGATTTAACCGCGTCCTCACTGCTTGTATGTATATTATTTTTGGTCTCTAGTATAAAAAAAAATGTTAATGTTCTGTTTAACTGCTCATTTTTAAAATTTTTAATTAATGTTACTTTTATTTTTAGACGAACAGCGCATGATAGCGCGTGCTGTCAATTCAACAATCCGCAACTCTCAAGCAACGATTGAACCTCTCTTAACAAATGATGGTAACCTTCCTGAAGATTTTCCTCGTAACTTTTTGGAAATAGAGGGTGCATCTGAAGACACGATCAAAAAGCTTCTTTTTGTGTATGGTCAACCAACTGACGGTGACGTAACTATCTGCAAACGACGTTTGGTAGGGTATTTGGGAATTATAGCCCTTTATGTTTGAAGTAAAAAGAGCTTCAAATTTAACAAAGTTTCTGGACAAGTATAAGTATTATAAAACACGAATAAAATAAAAAAAGGGAAATCATTTGCAGAGATCAATTATGGAAAAAAAGAAGGATATCTTTTAGAAGATCAACTTCTTGTTGATTATCATAATAATGTTTATATAAAATGTACAATATCTGTAGTAATAGGCTAATTAGTATTGCTTAATAAAAATTATTAAATTCTATATTGCAAATATATTTGTATTTTTTATTTATGGCTCTAACAGTTTCACATATATAAATTATTTCGCTTAGAAAATTGTTGGATAATAAATAAAATCATAAACTTGACCTTTTGCCTTTTTCTCGTCAACTTTACTATTCATCATGAAGTCTTTAACCATAATTAAAAATTCTTTAGTGTATAATACCAGCTTAAATCTCGAGATCTTCCGCACCACAGGATTTTTGATATAAGCAAATGATATTGAGGTAAAGGAATTTTCTGAGTCACAGTCCTGAATAGATGAAGATGTGTCGTTACAGGCTTATAGCTGACGCCGGTATATATTTCTTGAATCAAACGTTGCCCTTAGCAACAACCTCTTCGTTTTTTCATCCATGGCACAATATTTTGGGAAATCAGGATGCCTCTGGATCTATAGAAGTAGGGTTACATTGTTCTGCAATAAGCCTGTCTCCCACTTCCTCTGCCTTATATCTCTTTATTTTGTTGCGATTTTAACACTCTCTTTCACTAGATGCTTTTAATATTGTCTCATAATAATTATCATCACTGCTGAAGCAAAAGTACTTAGTTGAAATTTTAAATGTAAGTTATTTGACTCCTTCTTGTAATTTATGAAGTAGCTGACAAATACTTTAACATCATAACTTCATCTTTAAATTCTATTCCCTAGTGAATTAGTTGGTGAAATTGCTTTCAAATTCATATTTCCCATAAATTTTTGAAGCTATATCATAAGTGATATTGTTTTTTATGATATTTGCATATATAAATTTATTCCCTCATTTCTTTGGTAACACCTTATTAACCAACCCAATATATAAATATATATAAATAAGCAAGATCAAATTGACTTATTCTGGCTAAATAGTAAACAAAGCAGAAAAAAAGAGAATCAGTTAATGAATAGAAAAAAAATGAGAAAATGTTTTCAGATTTGAAAAATATTTATCAGTGAGGGTTGGATTATGATGATGATACTAATGAGTTGATTATCTTGAGACACTTAACTAATTGGAAAATTGTCATTGTCTCTAAACTTTGATATTGGTCCCATTTCCTCCCACAAGTTTGTTTAGAAACATCTTTAGATGGTTGAGCTCAAGAAAGTTTTATATTATTCAAAATCATAAACTGCAACTTTTAACTTTTTTATGAAAGAAAAGCTTCTTAGGGTTTGAGACAATAAAATCTTTAATGTCAATTTTAGGACTATTAATAAATTTATGTCAAATGATAACCATGTAAATATCATTACGTCTTCATTGCGTCTAAAAGCAAACAATTTAATAATATAGTACTTTCATTTTGATGAAGAGATGATAGTTTTTAAAAGTACTATAAGAGTTTTTTGAAGGTATGTATAAACTTTTACAAACCTTTTTGAATATATTATGATTAGTAATAAGATAGACTCTTGATAGAAGCTTATAATGGTGAAATACAGTAAATGATATAAACAAAATTAATAGACGTATTAAAAAAATAATTTATCAGTAAATTTTTTTTTTCTTGTTACGGAAAGAATTCACGAGAAAAAAATTGTTCCCATAATAAGTTTAATTTATTAATGCTTATTTAATTTATTTGTGATGATTTAAAAATATAAAATAGAAACAATATTATTTATTTTTATTACAAATATTCGAGTATAAATTTAACAGTGTTAAACATAACGAGAAGTTATTTCGCTAATAATCTTATAATTATTGATCAAAAATCAAAATACAACAATTCATCACTATTTGATACTAAAAGAAAACTTGAATAATTTATTTTTAGTTCAACAGCATGTATTTTACAATTATTATACAATATTAAAATCTCAGAAACATATATCTGGTTATAACATATGTTTTCAATGTATAGAATATTTATAATCATTACAGCCGGTAAACTGAATGGGACTATAATTTAAATCCAATCGCTATACCGTTATAAAAAATTAAAGTAACTTACATTTTGCTTTAATCCTTCACTATGACATTAATTTCAACTTGCACAAAGTGTAATTTTTATTTTACTATATTTATATTTAATATGACAAAAGAGAAAGCGGATTGTAAATTGTGTTCTCTAAAAGAAGTAATCCATTAATTTATTCGTTTACATGTTTATGAAATTTCATGGGTTGCCATTTCGATATCAAATATGTTACATATATTGCGCATAATATACATACAAAACATGGATTCCTTTGTTTACCTAATATATATCCAGTTTTGAATTTTTATTTGTGGTTTAAGATTATCTATCGTTTATAAATTTACATACGGTAATATATTGAATTACATAATTTAAAACAATAAAAAGATATTATTGGGCGTTTTTTATAAAACTAGTAACGATTTTGTTGATCATTTGTTGATCATTTATTTTTAAATTTATTATAAATTTTGTCACGAGATTTTCTATGGAAATCATTTCTCAATTTGTTATTAAAACACCTGCTGAATTGCCTCGAAATTGAAAATCATTTCTCTTTTTATAAAAAAATTTCCTTTTTGGTAAAAAACTCTCAAATTAATCTTATATAACTTTATATGTAAATGACAATG